TAAAATGTTTCACATTAGTCAACGTCATCAGGAACCATAAATCACTCCATCACTGTCCAGTTTAGGTCAATGGGAACCACTTAGCTAATGTAATGTTGATTAAACTTGTCTGTGATTTAAGGCATCCAATGCAAACTGGGAGTTGACGGCGCATTTCCCATCACAACTTGTAGGTGAGCTACTGAGACGGAGTGATGGATTTTAGAGATCTTACGTCCCTATGGTCAACGGAGTCAGGGACCTCTGAAGGAGGAGCAGGACTTTGTTCTGGAGCTACCAAACAGATGTGGCCCAGATTTAGCTAAACGTCTGTAGGCTGCTAACCACAGTGCCTTCGTAAGCTTACTGCGTTCCAGCACTCACTGGTGAAAAATGGTGGGGTTTGATTTAATTAGGTGCTCAGTGGTTATGTGGTTCACATGCAAAGAATCCTTCTGGAAGGACAAGATCTTTGCAAACTCAGTAACAATTCGACAGGATGCAGCAGCCGTTGCAATACATACCTGCAGTTCAAATGGGGCTTTAAATGTTAGAATCGACCCCCCTCCCCCACCCTCACCCTCAATATTCATCACCTTGTCATTTATGTGGTGTGGTAAAAACAAAGTAATGAAACACTTTCAGGAATTAAAGCTTGTTTTTTAGTAGCTGTTACCTCATTAGAAGGGACATCGGCTGAATACACACGTGCTCTTCAGGCCTATGCTGAAATATTGACAAATACCATGTTTTACTGTGCCGGTGCATATTTACAGTGTATTTCTTCAGGAATTCTAGAACTCAGGTGGCGTGTTAATATATGCATTCATGAGGACCTGTGTGCTCTTACAGTTAATAGAGTTTGCTCGGTGAGGTCACGCTGTGTGATTTTCTTTCGGCTTAGGTTTGGGTCTGTGAGGTACTTTGTAGGACTATATAGAGAGGGTGAACTTGTGGAGTCTCACGCTGAATAGATGTATACAGGAGCATTAGCAGGAAAAAATAAGATTCCAGCGGTTAGGGTTTGAGAACACAGAAGTCGTTGACTTCAGGAAGCATTTGAACATAAAAATAACTCAGTTGGCACACAGGAGGACGAACATAAGGATATCTAGCGTCCAGCCCCTAAATTTCATCTCAGGAGAGAAGAATTTGGTACAATATTTAATCCATGGCCTACTTGTTAAGGATGAGAGACCAGGTGCAGCCATTAACATGTAACGTTTCCTGGCTATCGAAGCTGACCACTGCCAAGTGAGTCATTTATGACTAATGGAGATGGCGCTCATTGATGTCAGGCAAATATGGAGTGTCTCCTTAGATCTCGGCCTAGTTACCTGGCTTCGCCCAATCTTATCCACAGAATGTTGTTTTTATGATGTTTGGCATAAATGTTCGACTTTCAGCTGTTGGATATTTGATAACATGTCGAAAGACTTGGCAAGACTGCAGATGTTTTGAGTGCTGGTGAATTTGAATGAATTGGATTTAAAGCTTTCTGTGTGAATCCAGTAGGGAGAGTGCGCTTTATGAAGTGTGTCTTGCGGCTGTAGTTTTCTACGAGCGACTGAAATCGATAATAATCTGTAAAAATCTGAAATGTATTTTGGAGGGAAAATTGTCTGGTGACACAATGTGGCGCAGGCTTTTGTTTATATAGACTGAGTGAGAGCACTCTCTCGCTTCGTAACCGTTCACCTGGGACTGAAATCACGAGCTCTTGTTTAGTTATTTGATGTGCTTGTGAAGCGTAGTACAAACACGACCCCGTGGAAACGCAGAGGGACAGGTAGTCCAGTGAATGTTATTGTTTGCAAAAACGTTACAGGGATATTTGGCCGGCTGCTTATCTGATACTATCTCGTCTTCTATTAGAGAGCAGAATGCACATTTCCAACCTTTGTAATCTAATTTCCCGGCTCGTATTCAGCGTCGGTCCATGCCAAGCTCCTTGGGGTTTGTCCTGCACCTCACCATGCACTCAGTTATCTCTTCCTGGTCGTCTGCATCCTGCCACTTAGCTGGGAATGTCACACATTCTCGCTCATTCATACTTCCTACAAATAACTGTTTTCATAACTGTGTACGCGAAGCTTAGCAAAAGGCAAGGTTATTTCCTATACATGACAGTGTGAAACTCGGCCATTTAAACAAAAGTGACTAACACACGCCTCTGAATTTTGATAAAAGGCAGCCTGATTCATAAAGGTTTACCTCATTAAGGTAAACGTAGTTAAAATATAGTATGGTCATATGAAATAAACAGCACCGTGCAAAAGTCTTAGGCAGTCAAAGAAAATGTTTCAGGCTACTTATGTTAGAGGAAAGTGTATTTTCTCAGGAAAAAAACACACACAATTTCACATTAGAACATATGCAAATTAACAGCAAAAAAATCTGCCGTTCTACATAAAGTCACTGATATACTCTTGGATGGCTATATGAACGCTGCTTTGGATCCCAAACCTCAGCCATTCCTGGTATTTCTTAAATTTCGCGGCCAGCTCAATTTATTAACTAACTTAATTGGTTAAATAACTCAATGAGGTTTTGATTAGCCAAACAATGCGTACTAGTGGTTGAGTCATAAAAGATGTGGTTGTATTGGACAGTTGCTGCAAATACTGGGGTGACTTTAGGTGAGGTTTTGAAATGGCTAAGCTGACATGCTTTAACCAAAAGGATCATAGTTATACACCAACATGAAGATCATTTAGACATCATTTTCTGTGACTGCCGAAGACATTTGCCCAGTACACTCTATAAGTGCAAGACCGTTGAAAGTAAACCAATAAATGGCATGAACTCTCACTAACAGACCAGGGGTCCACTGGGGAAAGTTAAAAACCAGCTTATTTCCTGGTAGAAAGGTATTGTTGAATGACACGCATTAGTTGTGAATTGCTCTAAAGCGTGAATTTAGTATTTTATCCACTTGCCACTGAGTATTGTACAAGCTGACATATTTGGATGTATGATGGCAGAATTACAACATTAGAGTTGTGGTAAAACTTGTATTTTTTAATGGGGAAAAGCGCAATTTTGTGCACAAGTAACATAAAAATGTAAAGAACAGTACTCTGTATAGTTTCTGTTTTTGTTCTTTACCATGAAGCACCTTCTTACAATGGTATTTATTTAACAGCACAAGGACTGTGTGATAATATTTTTGTTTGTCTAACAGCAACACTTTCCAATGGGAAAATATTATTTTAACACATGTCTTCATAGCTTAAAAGGTAATTATCTTGGTAATAATACATATTCACATATTTCTCTTTGACTGCATTGGGTGCATGGAAGAACTGAAGTAAAAATAGGAAAAAAGTGACACTTTGAACAATTTGGAGTGAATATATTTTTTCATTATAATTTGATGTTGTTTTTATTGAAAAAAATCCAGAAGTTTGTCCTTTAAATATACTGTGGTAGTACTTGAATATTTTACTTCAGAAAGGTCTTGGACTGTGGCCCTAGATATATAAAACAAAACGAAGTCACATTATCATTGTATCATATTAAACAGGATTTTCCAGGAGCACAGTTGCTTGACAGGGTGCTTCCGAGATATTATCCGAAATTCCAAGCTCAGCAAGAAAACCGCAAAAGGGAATGTTTGTTTTGGACTCTGCCGACGACCCCGAGAGTCCACCGCTCAGCACCGCTGTCACGTCCTCTGATAGCACTTTTGAATTATTAAGCAATCATTGGCCACACTGAGTGACGGTCTAATCGGAACCAACGGGGCGTCAGGGGTACGTTCTGAGGCGTCCTGTGCTGAGTAAATTGTAACAAGAAAACGCAAGGTGTGCTTTTTCTCTGCGATGGGTTCGCTCCCCATCCCGGGTTACTCCCTACTTTGTACTTGCTGTCGGGGTTAGGCTCCAAACCCCCCCTGCAACCCTGAATAGGACAATTGGGTACAGCAAATGGATGGACGGATGGATTTTTGTAAATCTTCTGGAACAGCTGTGTCTGAATCTTTATTCTTACGTTGGAACACTGGAATATGAGTAATACTGACTTTCTTGGAAATATGTTGGAAAGCCTGTAGAGAAAATGACGATAAAAAAACCTCTAAAGAAACGTACATAATAGTTGAAGCAGAGGGAACTGGGCCAGAACTGCACCGGCATCCACTTACCTGCTGATTGTTGTACATCCAAGTGAACTCTTGTGCTCAGGAGGGTTGGTGAGGAGCCAGCTGACCCTGGACCTCCAGAGGTTTATTATTCTCCTTTAGTCCAAGCTAAGAGATTTTTGGTCTCCTTCCCCACGATGTTCTGGCATTTTTCTGCTTGCACAGCATGTCATGCATTTTTTTTTTTTTTTACATATATGTGAAGCGATACGTGTTGAGAAGGGCATTTTATAAAAACGAATCCATTTGAACGACACTAAATTCTCCACCTTAACGTGACTTTAAGCCCATTTCTGTCGCAACGAGGTGGAAAATGTTACATAATATGCCCTCGAAGAGTGACTAACGCCTTTGAGTAAGACGTCACCCCGGGATCATGGGATCTCTGTCCGTCTGTGGAGACGTGGCCTTATGCCACAGAGCCTCCATCCGCGGGGACCCGCGAGCATCGTTAGACCCTCCTAGCATTTTGTCACAGGGCATTTAACTCCTGATGTGAGGCCCTCGTGTTTGCCGGCGTGAAGCACGTGCAGCGGGATTTTACCCCCCCCCCCCCCCAGCCCGCCATGCGCCTGTCAGACTAGATAATTACACCCAGACGTCTCAGTTACGATTTTATTTGTATTCCGAGTAGAGATGAATTTCTCCCTTTGCTTATCAAACTCTCTGCTTCTGCAAGGGGAACTTCAGGAAAGCAGTGGCATGTTATTATATTAAAATTTACTTTCTGTATGTACAACCAAAAAAAAAACCCCAAATGTGATACTAGACAGACAGACAGACAGATAGATAGATAGATTGATTGATTGATTTATTAGATAATTTATTAATCCTGAAGGACATTGCAAGTATATAATTAGAACTGAGGAATGTTTTTCCTTAAATTATGTCTCCAGTTAATTTATAACCTTCTTCGCTTTCTCCTCTGGCCTCTCATTAGCAAGGTGTTGGTCCTCCAAAGTTCCACTGACTTGGATCGTCTGTTTTCGTTTGTTTAAGGCATCATCCTCTATAATCTCTAGACGCCGTGAAAATCCAGTTTAAAAGTTTTGAAAATAACAATTTTGAAAGTTGTCTAGGCTAGGTCTCATACACAATACCATGAAGATCAATGCTTTTCATTTTTGTGGGAACACCTACTGATCTTGAGAAAATCTGGCTGAGAAGAAGCCGAAGGTTGCGGTGGTTTTGGCTGGGGGGGGGTGACCGTCCATCACGGCGTGTTTATCCAACAGCTGAGCTGCGTCCACCACGATGTCTGCACCCCGAGGGTGTGCACACTCTGTCTGCCAAAACGCAAATAATACACCGTGACTTCAGCAACGCCTGGCGCCCAAAGAACGGGATTAGTCTAGTGTCCTCTGTGGCTTTTAGCGAAATTTATATTTCCTGGATGCTTCAGAATAATTTGAAACAAAATCAACAAGATATCATTTTGTTATCGCGGTGATCAGATGACTTCAAGTGCCCGTGGAATCGATGTTTTTGTTGTACACGTCCCTCTTAATTTAATCTTTGTGCCATAACGCTGCACACACGTCTTTGTGGGAGTGTTTTAAATAGACCTCTCGTTTTTCCCCACACTGTCAAGAAATAGCACTCATTCTTTCCCTTTGTATGTGCATGATTCCTGTCTGGGGTGCAGTCAGATTGACAGGGAGCGTGATACTGGGGAACAGTGAGGCACAGTGATGGCAGCCAGTGGAGGCATCTCTGGGGAGCCCAGTTAGCTGCCACAGCATATGCTAGCAACCAACGTACCAGTTACTAAAGGTTCTACCTACCAACACACAAGCTAGCTACACAGGGCGCTAGCTACCAACACGCTAGCTACCAACGCACAAGCTAGCTACACAGGGCATTAGCTACCAACATGCTAGCTACCAACGCACAAGCTAGCTACACAGGGCGCTAGCTACCAACATGCTAGCTACCAACGCACAAGCTAGCTACACAGGGCGTTAGGTACCAACACGCTAGCTACCAACGCACAAGCTAGCTACACAGGGTGCTAGCTACCAACACGCACTCTCACCTATTTTAGGTTCCCCTCAATTTTGTGTTATCAATCATGGGTACCTTCTGAAAAAAGGCTTGTATTTCTTGTGGCACCCCACCCCCTCCCCCTTCATGACATCAAATTTTATGACTTCATGTGGTCAGAGGGTCAGTTTGGGACAAAGAGGCTGGCTGAACTTAAACCAAATCCCGAAATTTCTGCCTGAGACATAAATTCAGCGACGCGGGTTATCTTTGAAAGTAACACATGCGTCAGATTTACAGCCGACAGTTTGTGCCACGGAAAGTAAACAGTGCAAATGTGTTCTCTATAATGTTAATTAGGTAATGTATAGTTGAAAAGGGGGTATATTTACAACCTTCCAACTTTGTGGCAGAACTTAAGTTACACACAGCCTGTTACCAGGATTTACCATCTGCTATATATTTTATTTTTTTTAAAAAAGAAAGATTCAAGCTGTTTATCAAACTCTGGAGTTAGGTTATGGGGGAGTTTTAGATGCAGTACTCAAAATTCACAGACAGAGGCCTGGATCGCTAAAACTGAACTTCAAGTAATTGAAATGCAACCACCTGAAGTTTACAGGTGAGATGTGAATGTGATGGAACAGTCCTTTTATAGAATGCCGGAAAATTCCGGTGTGCTGTTGTTACCCAAGGGTGGCCAGTTTTAATCTGGCCATAGCTAAATTGTAGCTTTGTTCGGGGTGAACCAGGAGAAGCAGATCGAGGTCAGATGGATATTGTCCATTGTGTTATGTGGCATCCAGCACTAACTAAGACGTATTTTTCAACTTTTGGCATTTGCATGACATCAAAACAATATAAACTGTAATTCCATGAATTTGTAGTAAGATATTTTATAGGGCATTAAGTTCTTTGATTAACTACTCTTCAGTCTGTCTGATACAGAGCAGATTCTTTGCGTAATAAATCACTGTACAATCCGTCCAGGCTGCAGGTCTCATGGGAATGAATGAATTGCTCAAAACTGCATTTATGATAAAAAGCATAACAAACAGAACACGCCCTCTGAGGCAGAGCTTTTCGAAAAATATACTGGAAAAGTAGGTACCCTGGAAGGTACAGTTACAAGGAATAGAAATAGTGTTTCTGGCATGTAAAGAAGTCTTGCATACCTCCAGAGTCCAACAGGATTGTTAAGTACTGAGTCGAGGTAAAGCGCATTAATTTCACATGACAAGATAATGCAGGTTCCAAAAGTGTGAGGAGAATCAGACTTTCTCCGGTGTTGCACGGAATGGATTCTCCAACATTTCCTGAATCCTTTGAGACTCAATAAACCCTAAAAACAGCGAGCAATCACCTTAAACACTGTAAATTGCAGAATAAAGTGCAATCAGTGTTTGGGCTTATGCTCACAACCAACAAAGACTAGTGATGGACCAAAGCATTATGTCGAAGTTAGCGGTTAGCAATCCAGTTAGTGGTTAGTGGTCCAGTTAGCAGTTTGGTTTATTTATGGAAGCATTTGATGCTTTTAAAGCTCAAGTCAGCAGGAATAGTCATGCCCCTGGATCAATCTCCTTATGGGCTGCATGCCGCATTAAGCTCGTGTAGTGCTGCACCCCTGCAGATTGCGACTCTATTTATATAACAATGCGTTTACTAAAAAGCCAAATCAATGGGCTGCCTGACACTGGAGAATGCATCAGTTGCTTGAGAGTAGGTTCCTTCACCCACTGTGCCTTAAAAACACGCATTATTGTCCTCTGCAGGAAAAGTTCAATATACCTCTAAAGTCCGGTATGTAAAATCAGTAAAATATTATCGATTTTATCTTTTACATGCAGGTGACGCGAGCGTTTTGTTCTTTAACGTCGGGCATTACAGAGATGGTTAGAATTAGGGGTGCAGTTGGGGCTTGGAGACCCTGGCAGATTCAGGAGGCCCAGCAATTTACGGGGGCCTTCGAAGATGTTAAATTGGGTGGGGGGCAAGGTGACATTTTGCCAGGGACCCCAGAATATCTAGCTACGCCTCTGGTTAGAACATATCTTGTGAATGACTTATACTATCGCTGGTCACTTTAGTAGATACATCTGCTCATTAGTGTCAACAGTCTAATCCTACAAACAGAAAATCCTTTGGCTGCATTTCAGTACATATACAGACGGGATCAAGAGGTTCAGTCACTGTTCGCCAGAGCTTCAGAATGGCCGACACGTGTGATCTGAGCGATTTAGCGTGCTGTGATTACTGGTGCCAGACGGGGTGGTCCCAGCATCTCAAAGGCACCCACCATCCTGTATCGTGAGGAGCTTACAGAGGATGGTCTGATATGCAAAAACTTTCCAGTTAATGGAACTTCGGAGGATGAACAAAAGAGAAAAACTATAAGCGTTGAAATGTCATGGTCCAAACTCCATCAGGGAGGTCTTCAGCACCTCATTGAATCCATTCATTGAAGGATTCAAGCCAAATTAGGTCTTATTTATTGTGTCATGTATATTTTTGCATGTTAATTGCTGTTTTATTTAGATTGTCTCTCCAAACACTAAGATTAAAATCGATGATATTTCCTTATGAGTGCGGCATTTTTCAGTGCAGTTTGATGCAGTTAATGTACAGTATGTAACTTATTGAATTGGATTAGTTTTATTACATATTGTGTTTAAAACGATGCTGTGAAAGAGAGTATAAATTTTGTTCTGAGGTAACTAAGTTCTTTGCAGCTTTTGTAGCACATCTGCTACCAGAATCAGCCTTTCAAGGCTGTTTCTGCAGTGAGTGTTTGGATTATTGTAGCTTGCGAACTGCATTTTTGCTAGGTTAACTCTTCAAGGACGTAATGATGGATAATTATGATGGGTTTGGGAACTAAAGTTGGTTAATTTTCTTTACAGCTGTCTTTTGGGGAGACATTGCATTAGATGAAGAAGATTTAAGAATGTTTCATGTCGACAGAACGATAGACCTCACACAACATACACACTCAAGACACACGTCAGGTAAGCTCAAGTCGCCCTCTGGAGACTTAATTCGCTTTTCTCTAACTTTTGAACCATATTATATATTTATCATTACTGACATCCATAATTCCTGGCACTCACACAAGCTAAAAACGCAACATTGTGCAACGGGTCACCAGCTGACACCTGAATTTGAAAGTTGGAGTCAAATATGGTGCATATTATCGGGAAAAAAATTCTGAGTACAACAACATTGCTTGCCAATTTGTAGCTTAATATTATAGCTGAAACCCTTTGTTGAAGTCTCTGGAAATTATTGAGATTTTTTAATATGATTAGACTGTGCCATTTCCACTGGGACAATATAAAGATAGGAATAATTTAGCATAGCACTTAATGATCACAAATGTACCACAGATATTTTACAGACTGTTTAGTTTATAGAAGGTGTTAATTGCGGCCATCTTTAACTGGATATGTGAGACACCAACGAGGGTATTGGATGAACCAGGGTGAGTCAGCGTTCCGGGCGAGGTGAGCCAAGGGGGGCCAAACACACACACACACACACACACACACACACACACACATACTCCTTGTAGACCCCTTCCCATTAGACCTGGTTGCGTGTGTGTGCATGTGTCTTTGTGTGTGTGTTTGCGTGCATGTGTATGTGTGTGTGTGTGTGTGTGCGTGTTCCCTGACTTCCTGTCAGCTTCAACATTCCGTTCCTTCAGAGGAAAAGGATGACAAAAAAAAGGAAAGAGAGGAGTCCCTGGCCGTCCTCCAAGGAGCCGTGCTAGACATCAATAAATGGGAAATGCAGTATTTCACACCTCAGTTACTGGCTGACTCAGCCAAACCTGGCACAGCTCCAGCCGTCAATAACGGGCCGTCCGGACCCTGCAGCTCTCACAGCACGTTAAGTTCCCCCCAGAAGTGGGGAGCGAGGCGACGCCGGGAGAACGAGAGCGGGGCAAAGCTGGGCGCCAATTTTGCCGGCAAGTCCTGCCGAGACACAGGCAATAGGATGATTAGCGGTTTCGCTAATGCCGCTGCAGATTAAACGAATGACATGGATAATGATTCGTTCCGATGAACACAGATTTTCGGTCCACCTTTAATTGTTATGGGCTGACATGAATCGTGAGACAGACAATTGAGAAACGGAGGGGAAAAAATGCTGGGCTCTGCTTCACGCCCATACGTGCAAAAAGGCAGCGAGCCGCTGGCACGTTTAATAGAGTTAAACGATCATGTACGCTGGTGTCTTTTCAGGTGGTTTAGGGGAGCATGACATCATGAAGAGGAAAGGATCACTATTTATGCTTTTAGACAGGATACGGAGGCTTGCGTTTGGTGCGTATAACATTTTATTATTATTATTATTATTTTAAAAGAATACATCTTTCATTCTCCTGAATAAACACAGATTTTTTTTTAGAATTTTTAATGTATATTTCTTACTGGATATTTTATTAGATTGACAAGCAGTTGCAATATAATCTGTTAGTGTTGTATGATCAGTTATGTATCAGAAATATCCTAACTTAACAGGAATAATATTAATTCAGACACTTTCACATAGGAAATTTAAGTGAATAAACACTAAACCTGCAAGCATTAGTATTTATAAATAAAGTCCTTTTTCTATTCAGTTGAGAATCATCTTGCACTGGTGCCCACATTAAAGCGATTAAAGAACTATTTCCTTTGACAATTAAAGCGCCTCTCCATCCCTTTTCAGACAATGGGCAGAAAAACACAAGCAGAGAAACAGGGGGCCCGAAATCCGCAGGGCGGATGCTGAGGAGCAGAGTCCCACGGGCGGCCACCTCCAGGGCCGAGCGCATCTGGCCTGGGGGCGTCATCCCATACGCCATCGGGGGTAATTTCACCGGTGAGGGGCCTCGCTTTTGATTTCCAGGAGCGAACGCAGGACACGACGCAGGCTAAAGCTATTAACACGCTGAACTCCACCCCCAGCTCCGCCCCCATCTACTATTAAAGTGCCCCCCCACTACACAAACCCTCCCCTCCTTGGCACACTTCTGCTTGCTTGCTGAATTCTGCCTGTTCAGGCTCCACCTTTGCTGGAGCGCTTCAGATCCTAGGATCTCCTTACAGTAAGCCGCAGAGGTCCGGAGGCCTGTTACTGTAATCCTGTGTTGAAGACCTGCCGAGACATGTCAGCAGGCCTGCTGTGCGGTATATCCCAGGCCCGTGACAAAATTACATCAACTGGGCCTCCTGACTCGCAGCCCCTCCCACCTGGGCCCTCTCTTGTCCCTCCCCCACACCCAGGATCACTTCATCAGTCATCTACCTAAGACGGCGGACCTGGGTGTTAGAATTTTGGGGGGGGGATGTTGGAGATAGTCCTTCTGAGTAAGGGCCGGAAGGTGCTCATTATTTCGGGTAAGAGGCCCGCAATGCACTACTTCATTCCTGTTTAACCGGTGACTCCCCATGAACGCGGTGTGTGAATGCGTCTGCCATTCTCTAGCGGTAACCGCGGGTCATGCATAAGCAGCACAGCCAGGGTGATGTTAACCGCACTCTCCACCCTGCAGACGGCCGGGTGCTGCGTGACTGTGGCTTCAGAATCCCGTGGCTGACTGAGCACTGTTACGCAGCGTTCCGTGTCCCTGGGAAGTCGGAGCTGGGAATGACATCACACCCGAGCTAACTGTGTTCCGGTACAGGAAGGCAGAAAGCCGTTTAGCGATATCGGTTCTAGCCAGATTCATTGTTAGCATTATCAGTTGATAACCGTAGCAACACGTCCGCATATAGCGGTCCGACAGCACTGTGTGCAACTAATTAAATGAGCCAGTGCTAATAAGCAGTGTGTAACCAGAGCCTTAGCTTCTGTTGATGAAGGGCGCAACCATCTTGAATTCTGAGGTCGGGGTTGCAGAGGTTCCTCCGACCTTCCGAATTGGAATTCTGACTTCAGGGGGCGTTCCAGTTGAAATTTCAGACTAGGACCACGAAAATCCCGACTTCCGAGTTCCAATGGAACGCAGAATTACGGTCGGGTCCAGGGACTGATTAATGCATAAGCTATCCTAGGGTATAAGCCTGGGGATTCTGCAAACATCAGCCCCCCCCCCCTACTTTGGGAAAATTGGCGCAGTCAGTTAAATTGGTAACACCTGAGTGTCCATACTGATGTCAGCCTGGGGCCCCCATATAAGTTAATCTGCCTCTGTTTGGCCCCTTAATAAGGGCCCTTAAAAGGCAAAACTGTGGCAATAGAGCTATTGTACATAACTGCAAGTACAATGTAATCGAGAGGATGGCGAAGAATTTGCTTTGTGGTTAATTAGTGCATTAAATCTGTTCACAGGCTGTCTATCAGAGTAACAATATTTATAAATCAACAACAAAACAAAACATCATTAACTTGCTGCCTTTGCTTAACTTGCTGTCGTCTGTGCAAATGTGTAAGTAACACTTTTGCCAAACGAGCCTTTCTAATGACTTCAGCACAGGGCAGATGTGGACTAGGTGATAATTTTGTCTTTCTTAGTCCAAATGAAGAAAGAAGCCTTTAATATTTGAAGTGAGACCAGACTGAGAGTGGACGGCACATTAACTAACATTCTTTGGCGGTAACGAAAGAGTTCAGCCATTTTTAGTGCATCCTGTAAATAAATAAAGATATCCGTAAATAGGAAAATTCTGTCAAGGCATGCAATGTCCACGGCGGGAATTCCTCTGTGACAGCGGCGCGTGAAAAATGAGCGAGCGCGCACCAGAGAATCCCATTAGCCGGGCATCGATCGTTTTTCACCCGACGGAGGAGAGCGGCGGACTGTGTTTCCGGAAGGTTCCGACGTGCGCTGTAACCCCCGCAGGTACCCAGCGCGCCATGTTCAAGCAGGCAATGAGGCACTGGGAGAAGCAGACGTGCGTCACGTTCATCGAGAGGACGGACGAGGAGAGCTACATTATCTTCACGTACAGGCCTTGTGGGTAAGCCGCTGGGGGGGGGGGGGGGATTGGGGGGAGGGTAGCTTTCTTCTAGCAAAGTCATTAAACAAGCTGAGGTAATTAGGTTTTAAAGGAGGCCACTCCGTTGCAGATTAAAGCCTCGTTTTATTGTGCACCGTCACACTTTGAACTGAAATCGCCTCAGCGCCTGTCCAGCTTCCCGACGCCACACCAGCATCCGTTTCTCTAATGTACCTTTTTATAAAGCCATTTTGCTATAGCTCACCAAGTACAGTATTGCATTAATAGCCCAAAGGTCATGGGTTCAAATCCCCGCTAATGTACATAAATTGTTAACCCTTCCTTGTACTCTAAGTTAAAAGCATCAGTGAATGTTTAGCAAGGGCCTCTAAAACGTCTCCTCTAAAAGGGTCTTTCTTATCATGGGGACTGGTTAATTCGGCTAAAAAACTTCCGGTTTCATTCAAACGCCAAGGTTTTGATGCTTTTATTGCCTGTAAAAACATGCTTGAAACATTTCTATCTACGCTTCATCGACTAATGAAGACAGCCCAAAGCTTTGAACGGTCCCCAAATATAAGTATTTGATTTCAGATCTCAGAAATCTGCCAAACCATCAACCTGTGAGGAACATAGAATCTCCTGGGTATGTCGAGTTTTGAAGACCTCACCAGTAGACGACTTATTCTTTTGTGGGCAGACATTTTTTTTTGTGAGTGTGTGTGTCACACAGGACTTGGCGTGGCCAAGGTGACAAAGCGCGAAGGAGAATGAACGGCTTTTCCTTCCTGCTGCCATTCCACTTCTGTTTTTTTTTTTTCCTTTTTTTTGCGGTTTATTGTTTGGGGGAAAGGCATCCCAGCACTGGCGCATTGTACTGGCCAGCTGGAGCAGAGCACGCCCCTTACTGGGGTGCCTCTTGTACCCTTTGGCAGACAAGACCCAGGCCTTGAGTGGAAACCCCAACTGGGAGACCTTCCTCTCATTGGCTCACGTGGATGTCAGTCATCAAGCCGGATTTCATTCCAAATTTCTCATTGGCTGCTTGCCTCTCCCTCTTTGCTTTTCACACTCACAAATGGAATCTGCCATGCCTGTAATCTGCAAGCCCTCTTCATCTGTCGATGGCACCAGCCCGTCTGACTTGCGTTTTCGTCTGCGGCCTGATGTAATTGCTCGCCCCTGATTGTCGCTAACGATACGACAATTGGCCAGTCGGCGCGAAAAAGCCCGTTGGCGAATTAGCGGTGATGAAAGAGAGGGCACTCCTCTCAGGGACGGATGCTGTAAACCTGAATGGATCGCTTCCCACAGACCGCAAGGATTCAGATTGAATTAGAGGGCGCGTGGTTAACCAGAGGAAGGATCATCTGGTGGTGTGGATGTAACAGAAGTCGCTAAATCCATATATCAAAACATCAGGGCTGATGAATATGACGCAGAAAGCAGGGTTTTAGAGTGGCAGACTGTCTAATACTGTAGGTATAAATATTGCCCATTCATCCACCATAACTGCAATCAGGGTAGCAATCAAGGGTGTAGATTTAGGTATGGACTGTAGCGACATCTCCCTGCCAATATTGTGGGAGTACCCTGTGTGTATGGGGGGGGGTGTCCCTATCAATGTTGAAACCAAACCTACGCCTTTGGTAGCAATACTTGATTATTTACATCATTGTTTTTCTGTACGAATTCTGATATGTTGGTATTTAATTTGTTTTGTACATCTACCTGCATGACTGCATGTAGATCGGTTTCACATACAGCACATCAGTCAGACATCAGTCAGACAATCCCCAGGCTGATCAGCAGGTTACAATGGATAAGCAGTTACAGATAAGGGATGGATGTCTTTGATGTCAAAGTCTTCAATTCCAAGCATCAAAGATAACAACGATTAGGGATTAACAATTAGATACCTATACTGATGTCTGACACGGCCATGGGGTCAGATAACAGGAGGGCGGGGCCACAGCAGCACTGGCCCCTGCTAAAAGCTGATTGGCTCCCAGAGTGCACCTCCCTGTCACTCACCATTGCAAAACATATCATTGGCTAATGATAAGGCTGGCCCCTCTGTATGAATTTCGGCCCGTCTTTGGCCCCCCAACTATTTAAAAAATCCTGACAGATGTTGCCACAAACCTCGAGGTTTTGCATGTGAACTAGGACCAGAGTAATTAAAATCAGATCCTATCAATCCTGCACCGAAGACAAACAGTGTGGCGCCTAAGCGAGTCGGGCCCCCATGAAGAGGCAAACATCAATCAGTTCTCTGTCGCCGTTCCAGCGTAAGGAAATGCTCGATTTCGCATGCTGCGGTACAAGCTACAAATCTTAATGAGCGATCCTTCCGCACTCAGCTTTGCAGCGTTAAACGCCGAGCTGACACTTTCGACGCGACCTAGTCGCTCGTGGACATATTTAACCAAACAGATGCGTAACAAAAACAACACTTCAGCTGAAGTGCAGAGGGACGTGTAGCTGTTATTTTTCCCCTCGAAGTGGGCTAAGTGTTGATTTTAATGCATAAAATCTCAAATTATATTATATTAAACCCGTCAGTGGGTGGTGTTATGTCTCCAGGGGTCATATTTACCCCCCTTACTCGCAAAGTGCAAGCAGAGTTCAATCTGAAAAGGGCCCAAAGGCTGTAAACAAGTTGTCGTCAGCTGTGTGGAAGCGTTTTTATTATACATATTTTTTTTTTGTCATTAGCAAAACAAAGCGCCTGGGCAATCTTACAGAAGGAAACAAAACCACAGGCTTGATAGGATGATGTCACTCAGCCAATAAGGAGCTCCCTGCACCTCCGTCGTCATCACACGACGGGCCGCAAACAGCAATTTTAATAAATCTCGCAGCTGGACGCGCGGAAAGCCCTCGTTTCGGGCCGATCTCTGGCGGGGCCTGGTGAGAGAGACTCTTTCTCTGCTCTAAGACTGCATTCACTGGGCTGTGTTGACTTCACTTGGCAATGAATCAGTGACAAACAATTGTTTATTCTTAGCTAGAGACCCCCAAGGCTCCACGTCTCAGTCTAACGAGATGAGGCCCTCTCTCTCTTCCTCCTGCTCCTTTGTCGTGGGGAAAGTGGGACACTAGAAGGACGGGAAAAAGAGTTAACCCCCCCCCCCCCCCCTCCTCCTTTGTCTCCCTGTGTGGCAGGTGCTGCTCTTACGTGGGACGGCGGGGGAACGGTCCCCAAGCTATCTCCATCGGCAAGAACTGCGACAAGTTCGGCATCGTGGTGCACGAGCTGGGTCACGTGATCGGCTTCTGGCACGAACACACGCGGCCCGACCGGGACGATCATGTGACCATCATCCGAGACAACATCCAGCCAGGTGCGGGGGCCCTCCCTGTGTCTCTCCCAGGCCTCTGGTGGGGGCCGCCTTCCTCTGCCCGGCTCTTTGTTCTCCCCTGGAGAGCAACGCACCCCACACATCCTTTCTGGAACCTTCCTCACTGGATGGTGTTCAGCTGGATTTTTCCCCTCTCCTTATGGCCGTTCCGCATTGTCATGGCCGGAAAATAAGGCCACATTTTACATTAGTTATATCTCGCTCTGCGCATTCCAGCTTATGTTTCCTATCCTACTGTGATGTATTTTTATTCGTTATGTTCCTTTGACTGGTGGGAGACTGGCCAGAAACGAGTCCCTACAATTCACCGCCTCCCAAAGAAGTGTGACAAGCCTAAGTAAACCTATAAAACTTCTCCGTGCCGCAAACAGAAATGCCGATGATAGATACAGCTGAAATAAATTAGCTCAAGCCTTGAACCGGCTTTAGAAAAATGCATTACAATTCCCACCTGATAATGTCCGAAATTAATAATCCAACCTGCACGGTCAGATGTTTTCAATCTGAACTGAGGAAGAGATCATAGTCTCTCAGACATCCGTAAACACGTGGGCTTGCCGTGATTTCATTGGAAGATTAATGACGGTCCTCGTTTTGCGATTCGCTGCAGGTCAGTAGTACAGGGCACGCCGTGATTTCATTGGAAGATTAATGACGGTCCTCGTTTTGCGATTCGCTGCAGGTCAGGAGTATAACTTCCTGAAGATGGAACCGGGAGAAGTGAATTCCCTCGGGGAGCCATATGACTTTGACAGCATTATGCACTACGCCAGGAACACCTTCTCAAGGTTGGAGTCTAAGGTTACTTATCTCTCAACGTTCTTTTATCGTGCCCTGCCGGTGCCGGCTCTCGGCGGGCATCTGCGTGGGTGCTTTGTTCCGGAAGCTTTGCCATCTCATGCAATTACATATGATTCAAAATTTCCTCTAATTAAACATCCGTCTGATCCTCCTCGAGAACCTGACTTGTCTGGAGTTGGCGAATGAGTTCCTGTCTTTGTATAGGAATGATGGCATGAACTTCGTGTGCTTACAATTGACATTGGTTGCCAATCATGTCCTCAGGGGTATGTTCCTGGACACCATTCTCCCCTCCCGTGATGAAAATGGAATAAGGCCAGCGATTGGTCAACGGACTAGGCTCAGCAAAGGTGACATCGCCCAGGCCAAGAAGCTGTACAGATGTCCAGGTGCTGCCGCACACCTCCCTGACCGTATGAGTGCCGCTGTCTTCAGAGTTTGACTGCAATTTAGTATTGATATCGCTCTAAATATAGATTTACAGCTTTGGAAATGGGAATTGGGAAATATGATTAGGAAATGAAGAACCACGAGAAAATTGTGAAAGTACGGCGGGCCAATGACATTGTAGAGACAAAATCATTTAGCTGGTTGGGTAATTTCTTGAAACAAATCGAAATCTAGTCATCTCGATAACAGTGTCCTTTAATTTTATGACCAGTACATAATGGGTGGATTATATGCACCATATTAAGAGGACAAAAATAAGTAATGAACAGTCATATGGGCTGCATGTGTAATCAGAATTCAGAATTTTGCCTCTCATGTTCAAGTCATAAGTTATATCTTCTTTAATTATGTTTCGCAACACAAGTACGAGTTCTGAGAATCTTCTCACACTGCCTGGGACAGACGATGAGAACCTGAGGTCTTGCAGGGTGTTGGGGCTCCACCTCTTCAACGGTGGGTGTCTTCAACCCACATGGATCGATTCCGAATCGCGTTCCGAGATTCAGAGGCTAATTTACGCTTGGGGTGTAAATCGGCTCCCTGGCACCACCGTATCCACATGCACCCCCCCCCCCCAAACTGCAGATCAGATAAGAGGAGATATACTTTGTCGTTGAGTCTCAACCTGTGGTGTATGTGTACACGCACGCTGTATGTAAAATGTTATTGGTTGACCTCTGACCTGTATTGTAATTGGCTGAGGTGGGTTGGTATATGGGATACGAGTGAACAGAGTGCGGGAGAGAGAACTGGAGAGAATTTGTGTTGGAGAGCGGAAGTTGCCTGAGTTAGCGCTTTGCAAAGTAATAAAAGGACAGTTTGTTTCGAACCCATGGCTCGGGGTAATTGCTTCTCATTTAAAGTAGATGCACGATGCGACACAACCAACCAGCAATAGACATCTTTCATATTGGAGGAAATATTTGGGAAACACGTATATTCACAGTTCGATATCGCTGCCCTTTCATTGGTTATATCTCCTCTTTATCTCATGACCTTTGAGTGACCTCCTCCCCAATTCTTTGCCATCCACAGTCTCTGTGGCACAAGAACAGCAGTGATGTCACCCCCCCGCACCCCCCCGTGTTATATAGTGATACAGTTCAAATGGAATGTTCTCAACGGCTGAATTCTACAATTAAAAAAAAAAAGATATATATTTTTTTTAATATGGCGACTTAAGAGAGCAGTACTCGAAAGCAGCCAGTGTGTATTTAGATGGATCGTTAACGGGGGTAACAGGCTTGCTTTTTATAGTCGAGTGTTGTCATTGAGACTGTCCTTAAAAAGGAGGCCAGGAATAGCTTTGCGGGATGCCCACATTTTGTGACAGACCTCCCCTGAAGCAGTCGAGCACCGAAAAAGAATGCGGCGACATGACAGAAGCCCTGCCCCCCCCCCCTTTGAACATTACTCAAGTTCACTCAGCGGACAGGACATCAGATTATTCAGCTTTGGACACGCCAATCGCCACTGACCTCACCTCCGCTGAAAGGAGGGGGTGACGGAGGACGTATCACTGCGAATAAATGGCGCCGTTCTGTTTAGAAAGATCCCATTTCGTACGAATTGTTTTTCTTTTCCGACGACTTGGAGAACAGAAGCCTCGAAAATCTTGTACCGTCCCCGAGGCTAGATGTATATTCAGTGGAATCAAACGCCATTACATCCCGAAATGCTGAGGTCTGATGGAGAAAGATCCTCTGAAGGGCTCGTGTTTCAGAGCTAACACCGGCATGTTTGGGCAGTGTGGCAAATAAACTTCTGTGATATAACTACAATTCCTCTGACATTACTGTGGATGTAACAGTACATTCCTGCCGTGCAGGGGGAGTCCGGCCTACTTGCTAACTTAAGATTTCGACTCCTTTGTTTGTGTGTCCTGACTTGGATCGTTTAGTTTTCATCCTTTTGGGGGGGGGGGGGGGNCCTCAGTGGGTTAGGACTCTGCGTCTGTGATCAGAAGGTTGCTAGTTTAAATCCCAGGCTCGGCAGAGTGATGTCATCATTGGGCGCCCGAGCAAGGCCCTTATCTCCCAATCGCTCCAGGGGCTGCCTGGTCCTGCTTTCTCAAAAAAAAAAAAAAAGGATGTCACTTTGGATAAAAGCTTTTGTTAAATGTAATGTAATGTTTTGACTGGAAGGTGCTCTGAGGATGAGCCATCTGTCCTCGTTCACTCTTCTCCCTCACTGAGTCTAAGCCCCCCCGACAGCGGAATTGTTCAACCCTCCTCCGCATCCTTTTCACCCCCATTCTCAGCAATTCCCAGGTTCCCCCTCTTCCCGTCTGGCTCCATATGGCCCCCACAGTATGCGTCTCCTGCATTTTGACTATGCCCCGCCCTTTAGTGCACACTGGGCAGGTCTCCTGTCCTCCTGGATGTGGTCAGGAGGCTGCAAAGAGCTGGTGCCAAACCTGCGACCAGAAGAATGCGACGGGGGTCTTCTAGTCGTACCTTTAAAAACACCGACCATACATTCACCTGTCTCTCTGGAAACAGGGTGGAATTTCATCCTCGTTTTTAATCGTTTTTAAGAATCTGATTACAGTGATAGTCGACACGGTTGTTTTTATTCTTCGTTTCCGTTTCTCCAGGCCTCTCCCTTAATGTATGGTGATTTAATGCGATTAGTGTATTAATTAAGCAACCCAATCACTATCTAGCCGTGAGGCAATTCATTTTTTGAAATCGTCGAAAGGATATTTTGTGAACATTTATTTATTTTTTACCTTCCAGATGCAGTTCTAAAGCTCATTGGGCATTAAAGCCCTTTAATGTACCAGTACTTATTATTTATTTATTTATTTATTTATTTATTTATTTATTTATTGTGATTTATATTGAATGATTAAGAGTGATGGACAGTGTCCTGATAATAAGTGGTATTCTGTGAGAAGAAAATCGAGAATTTAGTTTAAATAGTGAAATGTGCAAGATTTGGCAAATTGCCAATTATACCTGGCATTGCATCTAGATTCTTCCCCTGCCTTGTGCTCTGTTCTTCCTGGAATGGGCTGTACCTTCTTGTCCTGGAAAAGTGGCCAGAAGATGGATGGATGATGTTAAATGTGCAGTGTGTTATATATCAAAATAAGTCTCTTCTCTGCTGTAAATTTTGCATATCTGTGTACTTTCATGAATAGTGATTTCCTAGTGTAAGTACACTTTATAATAAGATGGAACTTATTTATTTATTTACTTGTAAAGGGAATCTGGAGTGTTGCAGTCCTTGATTTAATTCAGTAACCTTGAATTTACATAATGCATACAGATATGTATATCGTGAGGTATATACAGCCACAGTCGCCGAGCTGCTACCTTTTAAAATTCCCACTTTTCAAATGAGCAGGCTGGCATTTTGAATGAGGCTCCGCCCCACTGTGGGTGTGTCTCGCCCTGGTCGTCGGATCTGATTGGCTGGCAGGGGTGGACTTCTGCTGACTGGGAGGAAGTGGTTGCCGCACACCTGGGGTTGTGTGTGTGTGTGTGTGGGGGGTGCTATCGGGGGTGGGAAGTGTATTGTGAGCGACAATGGTTGCCGTGGGGATGAGTTACCAGCGATGGCTTTCGTTGCTGGGGGAAATACGGCTTCTTGGCGTGACGAATCAGTGCATCCTGTAGCTTTCTGAACCGGAACTGGAAATGATAATGCGATTAATCGCGTGGAACCGCAGGAGGTGCGTCAGGGCCTGGATAAGGAGCCCCAATGATTTTTTCAATCATTTAACGAGTAAGGATATTAATCATATTAATCTGCCTTGCTTACTGACAAGGTTTTTTAAGCCACAAGCTGTATGTTGTGAATTTTGAATTATGAAATGCATCACGGCGTTTCAATCAATCAATCAATCAAAACGATAGTGTGGTTCAGATTAAATTGTGTGTCAGTCCACAGTCCATCAGTTAAATACCCCCGATATACTCGGTAGATTTATCTTTACATGGGAGACAATTATGCAGAACAATTGGGGATGGTATATTTTCAAAGCGGTTGGTTTTCGTCATTGTTTTCCCACAGGGGGGGCTCACATCCACATGCATCCCTTGGTAATGTGAGCCCTGGTTATACAGCACAATTAAAGCAAGAGAGAGTAGCCAGTGTGATGCATGACATCAAACAAACCGAAGGCAAATGACAATTGGAACAAAAACAGAATAAAAAGCTGTAAGAAAGGCATAAGAGAGCCAGACACGAGAATTACAGTTGAAGACAAAAGACCCAGTGAAAGAGATGATGGAAAGTAAAGTTCACAGAAAGCCTGAGAGGAGAGATGGGATTTCAATCTGGACTTAAAAGTGATCATAGTGGGTACAGCTAGGCTTGGGCAGTATTATGGTAATCAGAGATGGAAAGATCAGGTCCGGAATGTAGAAACCAAGGTTTTGTTTCAACCAACCAGTTGAGCGTAAAGGTCACAGTCACAATGTATTCTACTGGTTGGTTGAAATGAAACCTTGGTCTGGATTTGAACTTTCCACCTGATGGTAATACAGTATACCGTGGTATTTTGTGTAATCCGTGGTATTTTCGAAATTGCAAGAATGTAATGTGGCAAATTTTATCTCCAAATTGTAAACATTTTAGAATAGCGCTGCTTTCGAAAATACCGTTGAAATACCGTATGACGGCGGGTAATGTCTAATTTATGTGATGGTATGAAAGTGAAGGGGTCGGCTGTCCGGAAGCTTAGGAGCAGCTAGCGTGAAAGTGTGAGTTTTGAGTTAAATGAAAGGCACTCTTTGACCTGCAGGGACTCGCAAATCCTCACACAGCTGACCCTTATGACCGTAAGCTATTGCAGGTAATGAGCTTCGCCTCGTATGCGTGAACCTGGAAAATAAACAAACAAACAAAAAAAAACTCCAAACTAAGATACTGTCCATTATGCATGTTCCTACCACAGCCTGCGGACAGACGCTACAAGATTCCACCGGCAACTTCACATCTCCTGGATACCCCAACGGATACCCATCCTACACGCACTGCGTTTGGAGAGTATCGGTGACGCCTGGGGAGAAGGTACGGCTTCATTGGATTTCGGCATTTGTTACGAGAGGGACGTTTGAGCTAAGCTTGGCAGGACGCCCCGGAAGGAGCCTTGAGGACGTGAGCGATGTGATTAGCGTGACCGGTGTTGGTGCTATAGTAGGCTGCGTAAATCAATAAAGTGTGCAACTGCGAACTCTGCAAGTCCGCCTGGATCTGTTTTTTTAGATAAAACCCCTATTGAAAATCCCCACTAAGCCATAGGGCGATGACATCAAGATGTGCGGTAATATCGTAACGCGTTTTACGGTAGTATGATAATGCCAGGTATACATGTATTTAATGAAAGACAGGTCCTTTTTGTCTTTATGAAAAAGAACGTAAAAAAAAAATTGCCTAGCTGGGAGGAATCACTCCACAATTTATTTTACCCTGCTGTGGTTATTTTAAAAACAAATAAAGAATGAAATGAAACAGTAATGAGGAAATTCCAGAACTTTCCACCTATATTACTAGTGGGCAGAAACTTCTTGCAAAAGCTGAAGTTACCTCCTTAATAACCACCCCCCCCCCCCCGTTCATTTTTTTCTCCACTGTGAGTCCCCCATCCGAAAGTGTTACGAAACTCGGGTCACTGCCGGCCCTTGGCGATCGCTCACGCCACCCCCCGTGCCCCAGCCGCCCCAAGCCAGGCCAAACCGGCTAAACTGATGCGCGGCCCGCATCCCTCCCGCTGTGGCGTTGCGGAATGCGCTGGCGTAGCCAATAAGCCCTCCGGATCCTGCTGACACTCATCCATCGATCCCCCTCCATGGGGACACTGGGCCACACTGTCCCCTTGAACTATACGATGTCTGGTCTGTCCGGCTGCCGAAATCTGCAGTGTTGCAGAACACGCTCTCTCAACGAGGACTGCTCTTATTCAATAACTTAGGCCATCAGTCCTCCCTCCCTGGCCCCCCCCCCAATGCTGCTGTAGATGCGGCGTCGCATATTTGCATTTCTCTGAGCGCTGCATTTTTCGGACAGCCGGCGGAAAGGCCTCTGGCGTGCCCGGGAATTGCAGGTGCATTGTGGGTATTGGCAGCCCGCGTTCTGCGTTCTCTATACAAGGCTTTTAGGCATATTATACATGCACAGACTGCGGGCTGTGTGATTAGGCCTCAGCCGAATCCGCAACGTTGTTGTGTCCATCCATCCGTCCATCCATCCATCCATCCATCCATCAATCCATCCATCCAGTTATTTAGTACAGGGTTGCACAAAGGGCACAAAGCAGAGGACACCCAGGAAAGGTACAGTATAGGCTTGTGCCCCATGAAAGCATATTATTTTGGGACTCCAACCCAGACCAATCCAGTCATGTTCCAAATTTTTAAGGTCCCTGTCACTCACCCTTGGAATCGTCCTAAATTTTCCCTCCCTTCACAGAGCCCCTGAATACAGGATGCCAGTCCATCTTAGGGAAATATTCTTAATGTATCCGGGCTTAATATTAACACATGTTCTTATATACGCTATTTGCAGTGAATTAGCATCAATTTGGGTAATATTCCTAAACTAAACTAACAACAGTTGAGTCCTTGGCAGCTGCATATGGCGTGAGGCTGTGATCGTTTCTGTTAAATTAAAGCAAAGTTAAATGTCTTTGCAGGAGCACAGCATGTGTAAACAGAGAACGATTGTGCCAGAGAGGTCCAGAGTGAAATCCAGCTATTTCACACAAAAAGCCCCAGGATAATTCCATCTCTTACATAAGCGTGTTGCTTAACAGATAAGCAATAAAATACAGCTCTAGTGCAACAATGATGCTGTAACAGTAATGAAGGGGATACTGACAAAGAATTACTTGTGGCGTTTATAAAATATGTAACAATTCTAAGAATGCAGAAATGCTAAGTGTGATATTCAGTCGTGCTCTCTTTTTCAGGTGGTATTGTATAGTAATATTATTGTTTCAGGTATTGTATAATAATATTGTTTCAGGTAGTATTGTACAGTAATATTGTTTCAGGTTGTATTGTATAGTAATACTATTGTTTCAGGTAGTATTCTATAGTAATATTGTTTCAGGTATTGTTGTATAATAATATTTCACCATTATTCTTACTTTTTTCACCACCAGAATCATTTCATATGCACTTATGACAATTAAGGATATAGCTAGGAATTCTGCAACCAATAAAGTGTCACCTTCTCCCCCCAGCAATTTTATATTTAATATATTTGCCATATGTAAACTGTCGGGTCTTCTGAGTCTGCCAGGGTGCCGATGCCCCCACCATACCCCCTGACTGCATTATTGTTGCATTTTCTAGATCGTTCTGAACTTCACCACAATGGACCTGTATAAAAGCAGCTTGTGCTGGTATGACTACATCGAAGTCCGAGACGGATACTGGAGGAAAGCTCCGCTTCTCGGTAAGACTCCTCACGCCGATAGCACCAGAGTTTCCGTAATGATGCGTTCCGGATCTTTCTGTGTGAACGGGAGACCGAAGACGATGTTTTTTTCACACCGCGTCAGTTTCGCTTGGCCTAGCGTAAACACTTCATGCTCACTCTCGCTGTAATAACAGTGGATCCGCGCCAAGCGGCAGCCGTTCTTCGGGCGGGATTCAGCTCGTTTGCTTTGCAGGCAGGTTCTGTGGCGACAAGGTGCCTGAGGTTCTGGTGTCCACCGAGAGCCGGATGTGGATCGAGTTTCGCAGCAGCAGTAACTGGGTGGGGAGGGGATTTGCGGCCATGTACGAAGGTACACCTCTCCTTATACCCTGTCACGTCTTAAAGAAACAGCGCGAGTCCTGATTTCAAACCTGTAAACCGCATCAATATCCTCCTCATCCTCTCGCGCCTTTGCAGAAATAAGCTATCCTCCATGTACAGTGCTGGGCCACTGGCTTATTTTGACGAGGTTTTTCTGTCAGATGGTCCGGCAGAGTTAATTCTGGCCCCGAGACTTGCTGCTATTTTAAAATCCATCTTCCCCCTTATCAGCCATCTGCGGAGGTGAGATCAACAAAGACGCCGGTCAAATCCAGTCGCCCAACTACCCCGACGACTACAGGCCGACGAAGGAGTGCATCTGGAAGATAACGGTTTCTGAGAACTACAACGTGGGCTTGATCTTTCAGGCTTTCGAGGTGATTTCTTTGGACGCCTCGCTTTCAAAGGGGGGTGGGTGCTGGAGCAAAGAGTTATCATCAGACGATCACGACTGAGACGCCTCAGACATTGGCTCTGGGAATTATGTCATGACACTCCAACATTCTTACGTATTTATGCACAAAAGAATTGAAAAGATTCACTAACATTTATGACAGGGGGTATCAAGATGCTCCGGCATGTCTAGAAATACTTCAGGAAGGTCTCAGGTTGGATTTCTTAAATTGCTGAATTTCTGCTGTGTCTGGAAGTCTGAAAGGTCAAAGCAAGACCTTGGTTTTAAAAAAAAAAACAGACACACACGCACCCACACAATGGGTTTCCGCAGGAGTTGCCATTGACGACCACCAATAAACATGATATATTTTCCCCATTTTCCCTGAATGCAGAGTTCAAAGTAACTAGGACCTCTCAGAGTGGCAAAAGCAATAAATAAACTCAGTGGAAGCACTTTCTTTGAGTTATTTCCTGTTTAATTAACTTTAAAGAAGCCCGGCATTTCTCAGGGAAGTGTCAAATAGATTACGGTGTAAATACGAGCCGTATATCCACCGTCTTGGAGGAAATTATGGGTCAAATATTGTCAAGTAATAACAATATAGTTGTCAAGTAATAACAATAATGTAAAAGATAACGATTGGCCTGTTTAGCACGTGGGGATTGGCAGTAGTCGACTGAAGATTAATAGCACCTTGTCACAGCGCCTTGGCCCGAGGTGCTAATTTAAATGCTACGGTCGTCCCTGCGATTGATTTTTCAATTAAGAAAAACGCTGCATCCTTCACACACATGCTGAATGCCCCCCCGCACTCTCAAAAGCAAAGCTTTGCGGGCTCTCCAGACTTTGCAGAAGGAAAAGGCTCCCTCACACCAACATAGTAAATGTTTAACAAGGAGAGGAGCCGGAGAATCCGGTGCCCAAACCTCAGCCAGCTTTCACAGGCACTTCAAGGGCAGCTCCATGCTGCCAGTTGCATCCATGTGACCTCAGGCCCCCCCCTGAAAACCCCACGCAACCACACAACTCGATCCATCGATCCCTTCGATCCCAAACGACGTTTCCCGAAGGCCCCGGCACTGGAATGGCCTCAGAAATCCTGTGAAATCCTGTTTATCTTGGCCTAGATCCGGCCATTAGAAGTACAAGGCGATTGTTTGCATAAGGTATTGTTAATATAATGAAGAAAACACATGTGGCGGCTGTATTATCTACCCCCCCCCCCCCCAGGCCCCCATGTCCTCAGTCACGTCTTTTCAGAAGAGCGTCCATAAACTGGTCCTTTCTTCTTCCTTCTTGGTTTATTGATGTAACCTTTTGGTGACCAGAGTGTTACCAAGTAGATCAAAGCAGGCGATGAATGATTTGGCCTATCACATGAACAGTAATATTGCAGTGCTGTTTTTGTGCAGAATAATAGTTTAATTTCCTCTGGCGGAAACTCCTTCGTATGTCAGGCAAGACACGTCTGTAATGGCAGAAGTGGACTAATTTTTAAATTCATTTTCCAGCATTATTTTGCATTGTGTCACTTGTATGATGTTACTTAATCCCTGTGCCGTTGTGACAGATCGAGAGGCACGACAGCTGCGCCTACGATTACCTGGAGGTCCGAGATGGGCGCTCAGAGAACAGCCCCCTGATTGGACGCTTCTGTGGCTATGATAAACCACAAGACATCTGCTCTACCTCCAATCACTTATGGATGAAATTTGTTTCTGATGGCACAGTCAACAAGGCTGGATTTGCTGCTAATTTTTTAAAAGGTGATATGTTTCGCATACTCGTTTTAGATACTTTTTCAATGCATTGAATAAGTACAGTACAGGATTATGTATTGTTGAAATGTTACTGGTTCCATTAGTGGCTAGAATCATATATTTCGTAATTTTATATTCATATCCATCCATCTTCCATTTTGTCTAACTCCAGTATCAAACTGGGTAGTAAAATGTAATGGCTTATGTAGGAGCCATAAAGAATCAAACAAATAAGGAGAGAGGGTGCAAAGATGACTTGTGATTCGTTTTAAAACCCCCCTTATGGGGTTTGGAATACGTACATGTGATAAACATTGCATGACATTTTAATTACCGTAGTAATAAGTAATTTAAGTAACAACAAAGACCAGAGGATTCCTCAGGCAAGACCCTTGTGTGTAGAGAGATGCCGCGTGGTGTTCGGTCTTGACAAGTACTTCAGATCTTTAATCTATTCATGCTGCTTGACCAAATGTGACCCGGTCGGCAATAAGGAACAAGTGCGAGGCACTCGACATAAGATGGGTCGGCCTATTAGCCCTTGTCTTAGAGACCCCCACCTGCTCCCGGCGGGGGTCTTAGAGTCCCATGTCCTCGTGGGAAAGCGGAAGACACCCCCTCCCCCCTCCACCACACACACACACACACA